TAACTCTGGTGATGTTTCTGGTCTCATTTTGGAGGAGAAATAGAAAATGAGAGAGGGAACTTTAGCCCTGTTTCCACCAAGTGGTCTGGTTTGGTTCGGTTCAGTACGCATTTCCACTGTCAAAAGTGGAGGACGGGTACTAAAAAAAACAATCCAATACTGTCCTACTTGTTTGGTACCCTTCTGTTGGGGGTGCCAAGCGTACCGATCCGACCCTTAAAGGAGGAGCTAGACACACTGCAGTCCGCTGATTGGTCGAAAGAATGCTCACTTTCTGAGCAACAGTTGTTAGAAAGGACAAACACATAAACGCACCATCTTTAAATATTCTGTGGATTCGGAGAGAGCCATTTCAAGGCTGTTTTTGTTTTTTGCGACGAATGTCAGCGCGTATCTCCGCCCCATGGACGACCTCGGGGATGCAGACCTTCTTCAGAATCATTGATCTTTGTCTACTGTGTAACATTCTTGTTTGTTGAATTTATTGGCTGTCTATATTGCACTGCTGTGATTTAGTGATGTGTAAGAGTACAATTGGCTGTGAAAACGCCAGCAAGATCAGGGTTCGCGTACCAAACTGTACTGAACCAAACCTTTTGAACTGGATCTCCTGCCTCATGGGTGGCAGAGGTGCTCAGCAGCAAGTCCCTTGTTCTCCTTCTGCAGTTGTCACTCCTCCTTTTCCAGCAGAGGGCCTGATTACCACACGTTAAGCCACTTCTCTTCCTATGTTCCAAGAGGAACTAACCCTGGCTGACAGACAAATGATTCTGTGTCTATGATTAGTTAAATCCTATACCCGATGCAGTGACGGTCAATGAAATTAACCATCCAGAGATTAGAAAAGTGTGAAGTCATCATGACATACAAGGGAAGCCCTGTGTTGCCTTTAATGAGCTGTCACAAGTACTCAGCTTTCACAAGCTTGACAGGACCTGTAAAACAGAAGCTCCGCCCCCAGAGCCTGCAAGGCCACTTACAGATATCTGTTCATGCAGGCCAACAGGGATTTCCCTCTCACTCACTGTAAGCTGTTTGATTTAAAGTGGAGAACCATTGCTGTCGGCAGAAGTGGTAATAATTAATTTCCTAATTTTTTAATTTGCAAGTCAGTAAGGCCTGTAAAGCCATGATTTTTACAGTAAAAGCTGCATGAACACAACTCACACCATGTAGCTTTTTATACTGATATTATGAAATAAAGTAAATTGTGTCCTAATGTATTATTGTCTCTTTGTATTTCTTGGTTCCAGTGATGACAACCCATGAGCAGATAACGTCATTTAACTTGTGGAGCATGTCACGCCTGGTTCATGTTTCTCTACAGGGCTGAGCACACCATCTAGTGGTCAACTGGGATAAACTATGACACAAACAGGATCAGGTTTATTTTTGTAATTACTGCTCGGATAATTTTAAATTGCAGAAGAAGTAAAATCACGACAAAGTTTGCCTTAGCATTAGCGTAAGAGTTAGCATTAACTAACCATTACCGGATCTAAAACAAATTCTCTAGAAGGTGTAAGGCAGTATTTGAATGTGATGTGTTAAAAACTATTGATTGTAAATTGTATTCTCGTCCTGCTTTCATTCTGTAAAAACCTAAATTGGATTTTATTTTGTGACAAGACTATGCAGATGATTTCATTCCAATGTTAGTCCCACCTGTGCATTTGGTTCACAGGCTACATGGTACTTCTGTCTTATTATAGTGGTCTATTACTGATCTAAACAGATTCTGTATCAATCTGCACGTCCTCTTCCCCAATGATACAGAGGAAGGTCTGCACGTCTGCGGCCTTCCATGGCACAAGGCAGAGTGTCCTGACATTTTTCTCAAAAAAATAAAAATTAGAACCTGGTCTCCACGAGATCCACAGGTCTATCTAAACATGGAGCATTTTGTGTTGTCCTTTATTACCCCTGTTGCACAGGAAGTGAATATTCTTTCAATCAATCAAAGGACTGCAGTGGCTCTAGCCCCACCTTTAAGGGTTGGATGGGTATGCTTGGCACCACAATTTAAGGGTAGCATAAAAAGTAGGATGTTTACGGATGTTATTTTTTGGGACCATTCCCAAATGTTGTCAGTGGAAATGTCAAAATATGTGTGCCACACTGAACCGAACTGTACAACTTGGTAGAAACAGGGCTAATGTTAGCATCATTGGTCAGCCTGACAGCAGCTTTTTTGATTTGAATTTTTTATTACAAGCATAAGACAACATAAGTGAAAAAAAAAGACAGAAAATGAATAATAATTACAAACAGTGGAGAGTATGATGCAGAAAACATTGTCTGACATTAACCGAGAGGCTCCTATGAAACATAGCCATCAGTTTTAACTAATCCCAGTCATACACATTTATATGCCGACAAAGAAGCAGCGGGAGCAAATTGGGGTTAAGTGTCTTGCCCAAGGACACATTGGACATAAGCTGCAGGAGCTGGGGATCAAACCCTTCCGATTGAAAGTCAACTGACTCCACCACTGAGTCACCGCTCAATGTCATTCCTACACTACCTGTGCAATTTATTTGCAGGCTGATGGCCGGAGATGATTTAGGGCTTTATAAATGACGAGCAGGATTTAAAAATCTATCCTTCGACTCACAGGAAGCCAGTGTAGAGATCTGAGGTGTTACACTTTCTGTGTGCTGGTGAGGACTCTGGCAGCAGCGCTCTCAATGAGCTGCAGCTCTCTGATGGATATTTTTTTATCAGACCTGAAAACACCGTTACCATACCCGAGCCTGCTGAAAATGAAAGCACTTTCTCTGTGTCCTCAGACTTCCCTTGAGTCTTGTTATAATTTGAAGCTGGCATAACGTGCAAATTTTGTAACGCAGTTGTTAAAATACAGGTCGTGCTGCTGTCCTGTCCTCAACTTCCCTCTTTGTGTTTACACCCTCTGTCACAAGTTCTGCTTTTAAAAAGGGCTGAACTTTCTATTTCCTTGTGTTCAAGGTGTTCTTCTTTACTATTTCATAATAACATTACAGTATGAGTAATTTAATACTGGGAAATACGTGGTTAGTAACTTGAAAGGGAGTCCTAATAACACTCCTGGGGCCGTATTCAAAGCTTCCTAAGTACTACGAGTTGCTCCTATGACAAAATTCTAAGAACATTTTTGGAGTCAGGACATTTTCTAAGAATTTCCCCTTAAAGTAAAAACTAGAACCTGGTAAAGATGAAAGTTATTCACAAAGCTCTTTAGCCCTTAAGAGAGCTACTAAAGCAGTGATGCTCAACCTGCAGCTCTCGAGCCACATGTGGATCATTTGGGACTAGTTGTGGATCTTTTATACTTAAAAAAAAATAAAAATCCAAAGTAATTTTTTAAAAAAGGGAAACATTGTCAGCAGAAATTATTCTTTGCAAGTCATGTCACTGTGTTTACCCACACATATTTTAGGAAAGAAAGAGGTTTTTTGATTGTTCTTGCAGAAATAGTTTTTGGTCAATGTGGCTCTTAAGTCTGACAAGGCTGAGTACCACTGCCCCAAGGTGTAAAACTGTGAAGAGGAGCGAGGAGGACTTTTAACGGGCTAAAGAGTTTCTCAAGCTGAGGAGAAGATGTATATGTTCTCCAAACACTAAGAATTAAATTGAATCATAGTTTGGCAGAACTGACAAAAATGATTTGTGCAGACATTGTAAAGTGAGACATGCATGTTGAGTTTCTCTACATGTGGTTACCTCTACAGGTGCATCCAATCACTAATTAAGGCTCTTTAGTACATGTTGATATAACTATCAGCATGTGGAGAGGCTCCTGCACTTGTGGGCATGTGATTTTAACCGTCTTGTCCGCTATATACTTACTAAAAGTTCTTAAACTGCTTAAAGTTTATATAACATATACATCTGAATACGGCCCCTGATGTAAAAGTCCTTGCTAGCATTTTCTAAGCTGAGTTAGGAGGTCTCTGAGAGGATTCTCAGAATGTTTGTGACTACGGATACAGCACTGCTTTGTGCTGGCTTGACATAACAAACAGGAAGCAGAAACAACTGTCAGGTTTTGAAATTAAATGTTTTTAACTGAAGTGTAAGAATTGTACTTTAGATCATATAAGGAGCTGTTGCATCTTGTCTGAAAGCCTGGATGATGATTTGTGGACACTTCTTACAGTTCAGTCTGAACGTCTTCAAAGAGAGACTGTACAGTTTGAGAATTGAGAATTAGTGATGTGGATCGACGTTGTCAGTCCGATAGCCGATCTGTAAATTACTGTTTGTCAATATCAGACCCGATACCGATATAAAATCGGATCAGTCCCATCTCTTGACATTTCTTCCATTTTTCAACATGTTTATCTGATATCAATGCTGGTTTTCCTGCGATAACGAGTTCATTTCTGTAGATCTCGAGAGGAAAGCTGAAATTATCTCATTATCACGGGAAAACCAGCATTGTCAGAACAAGACACTAAAAAGTCAAAGTTCTGAAAGAATGTCCTCTTAGGGCTTCTGTACATTTCAAACTATTGTCTTGCTTTTTTTTACTTCCATCTTTATGTTGCTGGTATAGAGTAATTTAGTTAAAAAAAAGTAAGTAAAACATGATTTATATCTAACACTTGGAGCTGAGGCACTTCACACCACAAGCTTGTACTTTAACACTTTAACAGGTTGCTGCTGCTGTGACACATCGGGCAGCCAGCCGAAGAGCTCACGGGAGAAGGTGTAGAAAACCGCAAAATAACAGAGGAAAGACTTTTTTTTTTAAAAACTAACACGCAGCAAAAAGTCACAATGTACATGAATCTATAAATGTGCTTGGTTTGTCACTTCTATTCATACGAAGCTATCACAGTGATTACATTTAATGTTGAGCTAATGTGCTGTACGTAACATGCTCATCTGGTGCCGGATCCTGCTGGAGAACAAAACAAGGGAATCAATTGGAAGAACAGTAATACATATGTTGGTCACACTGGATTAAAAAAAAAGGAGATAGCTGTTGTGATAAGTTATGTATACTAGAGTAACCAGCAGTGATATCAGACATACATTTGTTATAGCAGAGTGTTGTTCTGCTTTGGGAGCGAGCAGCACAGACACCTTATTCAATCATTTAGTTACCTTCTCCATATTTGGTCTCCTGTGTGAAATAACACTGTATGTTAGTTCCGCTTCAGCCTGTGAGGAAGCAGCAAAAACAAACACAAGAAAAGTTAAAAAAAAGAAAAGTGAAATTAAGGTCCTGCAGGTTTTCTTAAAGGTGCACTTTGTAGATTTGGAAATTTAGAGAAGTGAAACAAGTCTATGGTAATATTCATAAATTGCTAATCTGTATGCATGTATGATTGGATCTCAAATTTCAATAACAGTAGGGGCATTGTGTAAAATGTAGGGATGTAAAGATTAATTGTAAAATCATGATAAATGGATTCAAAGGTGTCAAGATTCACACTGATACTCTGAAAACTCATCGCAATAATATCGTGAGCAACCAGCAGCTGTCAAGGCCCGAGACACATTACAAAAAGCAGGTAAAGACCTTGCTTAATGCTATATCACAAAGACCCGGCTTAATCCTCATGAGCACTATAGCAAAGCAGCTAAAGTTACATTGGTAAGAAAGTCTTGGCCAAAAAGTTTCACTAGAACACACCGCAAAGACTGCAGCTGACGGCCAACCACCACGTACGTTCTGCGCATGTGTGAGAGGCAATAAGCCAGCAGGTAGCGGTAGTCCGTAATCGTCAGTCCAAAAAGGGGAAACCGGGAGAGGACGAGGAAGAACGCAGATAAATAAACCGTTGTTGTGATATGAGAAGACAACTTTCTAACCGCTGTCGCTCAACACTATATTACACACGTCGTAATATAAGTTATTCTATAAGAAGAATAATGGAGAATAATGTCTGATAAAAAGCTGAAAATGGCACTGGTTAGCCAAAAAAAGGCTAACTGGGGTCAACAGGTAGCGACGGAGCTGGACACGTCGCAAAAACTAGGGCGATGACCGCTCACCAACGGACCGACGGCCGACAGTCTCCTTGGTGTGTCAGGGCTTTAAGAAGAGAGGCGGTTGGCAGCTGTAGAGCAAGATTTTGAAATTGAGGATGCACCAACGTCTTTTAAATCGGAGGTGTGGAAGCATTGTGGCTTCCCCAAGACAGAAAATGAAAGAGGACAGAAGATAACAGACGAGACCAAAACTGTGTGCAAATATTACAAGAAGGCAGGGAACTACACAAATAACACAACCAGCATGATGCAGCATTTAATCGACACCACAATGAGAAGCTTCAATCACTTCCCCTTGTTGAGAAAAAATATATATTAAGAGGCCCAAATCACACTGAGAAGAGGGTCTGCAGCCCCTAAAGGAATCTGTTTCTGTCATCATTTGTCTACAGTCTCATTTTGTAAAATAAATCATGAGAGAATCATATGGAAAACAGGGTTGTAAACAGGGGCACATATTTAGGACCTCTGCATATTTCTTCACAGAAAATAAATCGAACGATGTTAGTAACATTAATTAAAAAAATGAATAGGAGCATCTGCAGCCCTAACAGAAATATCAAATTTGATGACAGTTTTGTCTCCACATCGAGGATCATTTAAGCATTCTTTTGAAACAAAATAAAGTATTTCCTACCTTTGCTGCAGCTGATGATTGTGCTTTTTTCAGCTCTAGAATGGTTAAGAAAACATCTGTTAATGCCTCTTGATGCTGTACTGGAATACAATCTTCAACAAATTATTATTAATTTAAGTTATGAATATTCTTACTGTGTTGTCTCAAAACACACCAGAAGATCAAGGCCACTAACACAATGACGATGAGTACACTCGCAGGAATGATGAAACGCAGTAGGTAATCAGGACCCCTGCAGCAACAGTAAACACAGATGGATGCAGATAAACATATCTTAAGGTAATGAATTCAGACAGCTGAAATAATTAAACATATACATGTTGTCCCTTAAGTGGTAGGGTGTCTGTCCATAGATGAACCATGACTTAGGACACTGACCTTTCTGATTGCTTCTCAGATGTGGTATTTGCAAAGGCTGACGTGTGATTCACAGGTTGGAGAGAAATGTTCGTTAACTGTGTTGTTATTTCTGTGGTTGTTATTGTGGCTGTGAGAAACAACAAAATGTCAGCAGAATCATATCACATTAATGAGTAGTCTCATTTCTATATTCAATTGTCTCCCAATTGCTTATTCCATGTAATCATATTCCAAACAATGGCACCAGTAAAACCTTTATTCCAGGATACATTAATAATGGGAAACATTAAAGGGGACATATTATGAAAAATCCACTTTGACAGTGTTTTTGAACAAATATTTGGGTAACCTGAGTGACTACTGACCCACAAAATGTGAAATAAATCCATCCAGTCCTTTGTTTGTGGTCTGCATAAGTCTTACAACACAGAGAACAATGCTCCGTTTCAAATTTGCTCTCCTTGTGATGTCACAAGCTGGATACTGATAAAATAAAAAAACAACCTTCCCCTCCCCTGATATCTCCACCCATGGACTCTCCCATTACATGCATACGCCGCCCACGAATCACGAAGCAAACGGGCGATTCAGGATTAAGTGTCTTGCCTAAGGACACATCAGACATGACAGAAATGACTTACAAGTGTGCAGCATGTTATCAGTCTGTGGAACCTTTCGAGTAGCTTTGCAGAATTTGCAGCTCAAAAAAATCCTTTGTTATCTTATACTGGCCTACACAAAAACCACTCATTTTAGCCTCTGGCTGAAAGTGTTCATTTCAGCTGTGTCTCCTATCATGCCCACTTTTTACTGATTGGCCAGCTCTCTGGAAGCCTTCAGAGGGGCAGAAGGCTGCAGGGCTGCCATGGAGGTCGGGCTGCTCTCTGGTGTTGGGAGAAGAGACCCTATGTTAATAGGTTTCAGCAGCTTATACGTAGAGGGATTGGAAGCTGTCTTGTGAATTTCTCGGTTTCATATTTTAGGGAACTATCGTGTGATTAGCAGGACAAGCCATTTAGCGCATTCTGCAGACTTATCCTGGGATTACTCCAACATAGGTTTAGCTCATGATCTGAAGTTTGCCCATGTTTAGTATAAGTATCCAGCATTGTAACACTATATGTGAGTTTTAAAATGGAGGTCAACATAATAGGTCAACCTTAAATCTCCTAGGTGCTTGAGCCTTCACATTACTTTCTGTCATCAAGCTATGCCCTATCTAAACAATAAATTCACTTCCTTGTTTCCTGGAGCGCCCCTACAGGCCTGGAGCACTTCTGTTCAGCATTTGTCTATTTGCAGCTGTTTTTTTTTTTTTTTAATGAATGTTTTTGTTTGGCTTTTTGCAGCAAGTTTTCTGGGTCCGCAGCCAATTTTGGTAATTTCATTTGTTTTTGTCATGTGCTTTTGAATTTGTATCGTTTCTGAATATGCTGCATGTTTATTTCCTAATGTAAGTCTTTTTGGCCATTGCTGGTTCTTTGCACTTTTCAGCAAACCATCATTATTCACTCAAATTCTTTATTATGTAAAAAAACAAAAACATAATAGGTTCTGAATTTGTATATCAACAATTTCATATGCACATAACATCTATAGGAGAAGGGCCATAGACTGGCTGCTGAGGCAGAATATGTGTCAAAAAAGTGTATATTTAACAATTATTCATCAGTGTACGAGTGTACTGAATGATGGGCTGTGTGTGACGTTTAACGGCAAGGTTTGATGGCTTTCAGTGTATCGATTGGTTTCAACCTGACAGGTTAAAGTTCTTGAAAAAGAGTGCTTGGTGAAGCATGGAGGATCATTTCCAGAAACTTGTCTTGGCAATCAAAAAAACGTCAAATTCAAACCTTTACTTACGGCTGCGAATGTAATAACTGAACATTTTATAATACTGTACTTGTATTTTCAAACTATTTGTTAGTAGTATGATACTTACTGGTGATCGGTCTCTCTTTAACAGTAACACGCACAGGCATCCGTACGTCTCCTTTGGCGCAGTAATACCAGCCGCTGCTCTCTGCCCTCAGTCTCTTCAGAGTCACATTGAAAACGTCAGGGTTTTTTAGATCAATGGTCACTCTTGTACCATCTATTGATCCATGTGGCTCCTTTATACAGGACCCTCCCAGTCTGCACCACTGAATTTCTCCTCTGTTAGAATAGGTAAAGCGGATAGCAACATCTCCTCCAATAAATCCTGTAACCTCCTGATGATCCACGGAGAGCAGGGGCCGACCTCGAGGGAGAGGGAACAGAATTTACTACAACATTATGGTTAACCATCAGTACTTTCTGTTGTTTGATACCTCTTGTAGATAAACGACTCCAACATTCACACTTACTCATGAACATGTTTTAAAAGAAAACTGTGACCCACTATAGTCTATAAACCTTATGGGGTGCTGGTTTGATTACAATTACTCGTCAATTTTAAGACAAGTAACCAGCGAGGTGGGACAGACGAAAATGAAGCCACGATAAGCCTGTGAGCCTGAGCTCAGGGTTGACAAACCCTCGGCACTGACATTTGTGGATCATGAACAGGGGTAGTGTTAAAAAAGTCACATGAAAGCAGACAGCTGATTGAGAGCCCAGCCTTCTACTGATGACTTTAGAGCAAAAAAAACTTCTTAGAAAAAAACTTTATAGTTATGTACTTACTCTATATATTTGCAGATCTGTGTACTGTACACATTTGTAGGTGTGTGTGCAGACCTGCGTATGACATTTTAGTTTTGCTACAATTAAAGCTCCATTAAACAAAACATTATTTAAAAAAATAATAACGATTAAAGATTTTTCAAAGAGGAATTCCAGTATTTTTTAACCTTTGCCCTTCATTCAGTTGGTGTCTTTGGTTACAGTGATCCAATTAGGAGTCTGTATTCTGTGGGAGCTATGTATAAATATCTGCATCATGGATGTGTGTAACAATAATCTCACAGTGATTTCACACATCTAACTGCACCTTAAATGCAGGGTTGGTAATTATCGAAAACTAGCATGGTTTTGAAAGTAGCATTCCCTCAGTGTTCAATAACCGAACCTTCTAATGAAGTTTTGAAGCTTTGAAACAAGTGATCAGTTTCTGACCGTGAGTCTATTTCTGTACTGAACCTAAATTAATGTTGTCAGTTATAATACTCTCCTTCAGGAACAAACATTAACACTTAAATGGATGTATGTACATTGAATAAGACAATATTTTCCTAAAAGGGGATATTGCAGCCATTACATCATCTCTCCCTGCTGTAGCAATCTTCTTTAATTCCAAAACATGAATTAGTACTTTTTAAAGTTTTAAAGACCACAAAATATATAAAAACATGGCCCAGGTTTCTTTCCACTTGGTCTTACCTGCAGTGACTGAAAGCTGAAACCTTTTCCCATCATCTGCCCCATTGTTTATCTCCACAATACACCAGTAATGAGAATCAGAAAGAGTCACGCGATCTATAGTCACAGTGAAGATTCTTTGCTGTTTGTCATCAGAGATTGAAAAACGTCCTGAACGTCTTGGTTCATTGGTTTTAACTGTGTAGGAGCAGGAACTCCATCGATATCCTTGACACAAGTACTTCGCATGGTTTCTGTATTTAGACTCATAGAGACATGGGAGAGAGATGGAGCCTCCAGTCTTCACTGGCACTTTACTGACAGTCGTAACGCTGTGAATTCCTGCAACAAGACCCAAGAAAAAATTCAACCAGTGACATTTAGAGAGATTCAATTATAATCACACCATCCTCTGACCTCCTGGCATAAATATAAGGAAACACAAATGTTAGAACTTTGACTGACCTGTGAGTCCAGCGAAGATGAGAAGAGCGCTGAGATGAGCGGCCATGTCGGTGAGTGAGAAGAGGAAGACTAAAAAGTGTCCTGTCTTTCTGTTAGAATGACTTCTACTTCCTCATGTTACCTTATAAGTCCACAGTTTGACACCCCATACAATGTATTTACAGAAGGTGTTAAAACCTATACTCTCACTTGCACACTACACATTACAGATTGCTGCAGTTCTACCCAGAATCCCTTGTTTCAGAAGAAACCTTTTTTATGTCAGGATTCTTTATTAGTCCAGGGGTAATATTAAAGCCACCTAGGAGGGATTTTTAACTGCTCTTGAAACAGACTGAAAAGAATAGTGATGCCTCTTTATGACCTACAAAAACAAATGAGACCATCAACGACAAGATCGACTATTTCTTTTTCAGTATTTTCAGTGCGTGTAACTGCTGCCCATGGTAGTTGTCAGACGAAATGAGTTACAGCATTTTTTTTCCACACAAAAAATATTCACCGTGAGTGATACATTTTACTGTTAAAAAAGGAGCAGATGTTTTGGTAGTAAACATTACCTATGCATTTACAACACAAGATTAGCAAAGAGATGAAAGGTCAGCTTTAACCACAGGGGGCGCCAAAATCGACGAGAAAGAAAAAAAGGAGCTTTAAGTAAGTCACATGATCTTCAGATACATTAGATTTGTATTTTTATACAATTTTTTTGTACTGAGAAAAGTCTTTAAGATTTATTTTAGGTATGATATCATGTGTATTGTGTTTATTAAACAGCTGCCTACAGCATTAAAAACCTTATTTTAGGGAACACTTTACACCTAATGGGAGCTAGGTTTAAGATTTCAATTATGCCTCAGTTGCAACTGGTGCAGCATCACCTAGTAGAGGGTAAACTCTGTCTCAGGTTTCTTTCCAAAAATTGGAAAACCAGGCAAAGTCTGAACTTACTGTACACAAAACACCTTCCAACCTGTACAGATATGTAGAATTATTCTATTGTTCAAGAGATTGTGTGCTTTTTGGTAATTGCATGTTTTGCCCAACAATACTTTGACTAACTTGATCATAAAGCAGATGGATGAAAATCCTACTAACGCTGTTGTTCTCTTATGTTTCCCTATTGTACCTTTATGTGGATGTTGCTTGAAGAGATTGACTTTAAATTGCAACATTTCACTTGTTACACAAGACTGTGAAAGTTTCTGAAAGATGTTGCACAGCAGTTCTGAGAACTGAGGCAAGAAGGCATGGAACCACAAAATTAAATATGAAGGACAACATCACAGTGTGATACTGTCTTTCCATTTAAATGACTCCATGTTCTTAAGAAGATACTCAGTTTAAGGATTAATTTCATCAGCAGGAGGACAGGTTTATACTGACACATTTTGAGCTTAGAAAATGTGTCTCATTACTTCCTCTTTTTTTTTTCCAACTCTTTTTATTTAAATTTTTCAATAAAGTGACAAACATTTGTAAATGACAATGATACAGTCTGAAGCACCCATTCCCCTCCCTCCTCCCACCCACCCACCCAGCTCAGGTCAGAACCAACCAGGGACATATGACACACACATACACTCACTCAGACAGCACATTAGACACAACAGCAGACAGACAGTCCTAGAAATAAAGGTAAAAGAAGAGTGATATGGGTAAGTAAAAAAAAGACATGGGTGAAGTGATCATTAATAAGAGAATACCAGTATACACAAACATACCGGAAAAAAAGCCAAGAACAAATAAATGATGATGTTATTTTGTATATGGCAAGCCGTTTATATGGCAAGCCATTTAGGAAATTAATATATTTGAACAAAGTCTAAATATATTGAATGAAACTTTGAATATATTGAATGAAGTCTGAATATATTGAATGAAACTTTGAATATATTGATTGAAACTTTGAATATATTGAATGAAACTTTGAATATATTGAATGAAACTTTGAATATATTGATTGAAACTTTGAATATATTGAATGAAACTTTGAATATATTGAATGAAACTTTGAATATATTGAATGAAACTTTGAATATATTGAATGAAACTTTGAATATATTGAATGAAACTTTGAATATATTGAATGGAAGTCCGTAGCGTTATATCAGATGGCATTTCAGTAAGAGACTAACAAATCCCCTAAAGTGTGCTCAGCAATGTTTTGTAGAACATTACTACTCATAAGCAGTAAAAGTGTTCCAATAATTGATTATCTTAAAGGTGACGCATTCTACATTCAAAATTATTCATATAATTTTGAGTACGAAGAGCTGTTTCAAAAAAGTTTTCACAGTCAACAAACTATTAGTATATTTCAGCTGATGTCATTTTGCAAAACCAGCATATTCAGCAGGGTGTCTTTTTGATGACAACAATGAAACTGGTGGATTTGGAGAATTGAAATCAGCTTCAATTCCATATATTCAGATTTTGTTCAATATATTCAGATTTTGTTCAATATATTCAGACTTTGTTCAATATATTCAGACTTTGTTCAATATATTCAAAGTTTCATTCAATATATTCAAAGTTTTGTTCAATATATTAATTTCCTAAATGGCTTGCCATATATATGTATATATATACATATACATATATCACCATTACACATAGGGCCACAACTGCATAAGTCAGTGCCCCAGTTGGGCCACCTCAGTCAAAAAAGTCTGGACACGCCCCTGCTTGTGTCGGGTTGAAGCAGACTCTAAAGGTCATGGAAAGTTCAGACTCTCACGTTAGTGTTTATTAAGTTTCCTCTTGCTGTTCCTCATTTTACTCGATAAACATACAGCTCTGAAGAAGTTGTGTTTTTCTACAGAGCTGCCAATGACGCCATTTTACCTCATGAGCATCAAATAATAGATCAAAACTAAAAGTCAAACAAAAACTTGGGCATCAATCTGCATGATAAGAAACTATGACTGAATCCGTGTTTGAGAAAAATTGGAAGTTTATTTTGATTGGGAAAAACATGTAAATACAAGGGATACTTTGTCATTGAAGGGAAATATAAAAGTACTGAAATAAAGTTTTAAAAAAGACAATAGTAATGAGCGCAAGAATAAGATCGCAGATACAACAAGCGGTTGAAATGAGTTTCCTCATTAGACCCAGAGTGCGCAGGAGCGATTATATATCCCGTCTGGCCTGGGAACGCCTTGGAATCCCCAAAGAGGTGCCTGAAAACGTTGCTAGGGAGAGGGAAGCCTGGATTGACTTACTGCGCTTACTGCCACCACCAAGAGAATAACATTACCATGAAGAGAATAACACAAGAGAAGTATAGGAACAGCTTCAGGCTGGCTGGGTCTCTTCAATCGGCCATTTTCTTCAGTTCGTTCTGTTAACCAGTTACTTCCCGTCTGCATTACACTCAGCATTTCAATCAGGAGAGACAATTGAATAAAGACAAATATTAATTACAATGAAATATGGAAATGTTTCTTGACAGAAATAT